CTTTGTTTGTAGGATCTTAGGTGAAAGGATTCTACAGGATCCCTTTTAGATTTTCTGAGCAGTTTGCTCTTCTGGGATGTACCTTCCCACAATCCAGGACTCAGGGATGACCTCCTTGAACTCACGTTGGTTCAGCTTGACTCCGTTCTTTGCAATAGACAATTGAACCAGAAAAGTTACCAGATCCAAGATGAGTGCAACAGCCTCCCGTCCTCAGGAATTTGGAATTGGGATAAAAAAAAAAGCAAGTCTGTGTTGGCCTCTTAAACAGGAAATTTAAGCTGAAGAACACTGTACTCCCTGTGTAGACCTGGGATAAAAGGATAGGGTGCACTGAGTGGGAGAAACAAAGATGACAGATGGTGGGGAAATATCACTGGGTCCCTGATGGCCTATAATTCCGAGCTCCAGTTCTTCCTGAAGACTTCAGGTTCTGTGAGACACTCCTGTATCTTTACAATTAAGTTCCCTAATGGGTTTCTTTACTTGAAACCAACCAAAAGAGGCTCAAATAAGAAAGGGTGGGTGAATAGGGATCAACTCTCTCTTGAACACTGGCAAAAGGACAGGTCTCTGTACTGCGACCCACTGTCTCCATTTACTTCACCTTTGCTACCTGTGAGTCTGAGTCTGTGAATGCTCAGGAGAGTCCATTTCTGTGTTAGGGGAGTTGTGCAAGTGTAAGGGAGATTTGTGGGGCTTTGTTTGATTTTGCTGTGGCTTAGAGGGGTTAGTAAAAGCAAGGGTGAAAGTGAAGGAAAGTTTACCCAACAAAGGGAGCTCAGGAAACTTGTGTTTTAGAGCAAATCCAACCATTACATAGCAGAGTTTGGCCCAAGTCTCATTCTCTTTAGGCAAGTTAATATTATTGTCTTCTATAGTTCAGAAATACTTGGTTCATACATGATAAATCACCTTTGAGAATGGCTTTAAGGTGAAACTAGTGAAGCCTGACTGCTGCTTTCCAGTGAAAAATTTGGGGCCACCTCTTGAGCAAACTCTTGCATTGGGCATGCTTAATCGGGAGAAACATTACCCCAGAGAGACAAATAATCTTCCCATTCTTAAGGAAGTCTGGACTGTTTTTCTAGCCCACATGGACAACTCATAATTATTCTTAAGTAACCCTGAGAATTTTAACATGAATTGAGTTATGTGTTTCTTGTTAAATGGATCAAATTTCAACAAAGCCCGGGAAACATCTTGAAAAATCACATGAATGCAATTTCCAAAGAAAACAATCCAAGAATTACTGCCAAAGAGTTTTATTTCCACTAGGAAGAAAGAGAAGAGTTTCATTTTGCCCCCCACACAGACTGTATGTTCAATTTGTGGTCTGCAATGGAAAATTTTGCTGATTTTGCTGAATTCAGGAGAGGCGAGAAATGAAGGGGACTATTGTTGTTTGAGTGATAAAACTGTCTTTCTTTCTCTAGCATTAATATGTTATTAGCATTTTCAATTTGATTCTACAAATATTGAGTTTTAATGGTGTGTGAGGTACCGTGGGAGAGGGAACAAAGAACTTACCCCATGATGCTTGTCCCATGGGCCCTATAAATTCGACCCACAAGTAGGGCAATGCCAGCCCACAGAGTGCCCTTGTATAAATTAGAAAAAGTTGTGGGCAACCACTTAGCACAGGGGACATTTGTGCAAATAGGAAAAAAAAAAAAATCTCTTCCTCTGTTGGGCATAATTTTGTACCAAGGTGCACATCTTGATTTTATTCTCTTTCCCTTTGACTGGATACTCTTGTGCTGGACACAACTTACTCATCTGATTGCAACATTGCTACCTACCAGATATGTAAAGGGCTAATTTGGGAATCATCCATTGTCTAAATGGATGAAATACAACCATTATTTTTCATCTTCAGTGAGTAGAAGGACCATCTGGGAGCTCAAGAATACCTGAGCCTAACTGCAGATATGATTCAGGATGACTGAGATAAGGTCTAGAGATAATATTTACAGCACACTCCCCCAGGAGTAGTTGTGATACAGTTGATCCAAAAAAATAGTTTGAGAAGTAAAGATGTAAGAAATAATGGGCTGAGTCATCTGGAAAGAGAAGAAATCAAGGCTGGCTAAACTTATTGCAGAAGACCTACAGAAGATGAGGAATTTTATTTATGTGATAACTAAACTGTAATTTCTGGAACTTTTGCCTCAATAGAAAAATGTTTTCATTTCCTAAAATGGATGAGAAAAGCTCAGCCAGGCTTATTTGAAGTTGTCCAGAAGAGAACAATGACAGCTGAAGAAAATTATCTCTAAGATGAATCCCTGAAGTAAGATTTGTTTGGGGAACTGAAAACTTTGCAGTCACTAGTACTAGCTTCTGCCTTTAGACAAGAAAAAAAATGATAAAAAACCAACATGTTAGCTGGGACTAGGCAGAGATTGACAGTAACACCAAGACACTCACTGACATGATAACTCTGCAACCATCTTTCCCATCTGCTTCCCAGAACATTCCTCCAGTAGCACCCATAACTCTCCAAGGCACTGCTGATAATACCACTGCATACCTAATAACAGAAAACTATTCTAGCTTCTGGCACAACAAGGTTTCCTTGGGAAATGCAACTGTGGTGTACATGGAATGGTGGTTTCCATTAAAAAATTCATTAGAGGTTTTGAGGCTGTTAGCTTGGAGTTTTAGACTTTTCTAAAGAAAAATATTCTATGATAATAAGTAAAATATAATCCAAAGTATTTTCTGGCACAGAAAATTTTCTTTTTTCATTCTTCCCATAGCAATAATTACTTCTTTTTGGTCATGTGATCTGGGGAGAGGAGCCTTCCCCATCATTCCTGGGTCAACTTTCTGTCTTTGCATTTTGTCTGTGTCAGAGGCAAGCACTTTATCTGTAAAGACCATGTTTGGGAAAGCTCAGAAAGAGAAAAGTGAGGAGAGGTATAGTTGCAATCCATAATATAGCAATCCACATGACTCAACAGTCTGTATGCTGTTGAACACATAGAAATAAGTATGCTGGGTAGTAACAGGTAAGAAACATTGCAACTGTTAATCAGTTGTCAGTAACAACAGGGTCTTGACCTGTATAGAACCTGAAGCAATAGAGCATTTTCAGTTGGTTCAGGTAACAGCACAAAGGTGGCAAGAAAATTGGAAGTTATCCCATTTGAAGTGATGATAAGCCTTTTCAACCTCTCTTTCATAAATCAAGTATATCATCCAAGTAACAATTCAATTTGTTTCTTTCTTCTGGTCAACTTCATTGATTTGTTAGTGCTTCCTACCGAAGACCAAAACTGAAGAGAAAGACTATGTGTGGAAAAGGGAAAATGAAACTCTTCCTTTATGTTGGAAATAATTCTTCCTTCTTGTCAATTTTCTCTAGACCATTCATTCTCAATTAGGAGAGTATCCCTGGCAGGTAAATGATCTATTAAGGCTTAAATAAAGTAAACAAATATCTTTAGAGTAATAATTCTGATTCCATTTCAATTCAGTATCAGACAACAAGTTCCTTTTAGAAGCTGGAACTGTGTAGAGAGGAGAGGCAGTGTGGGTTGTGAGTGGTCAAGAGCATGAACTTTAGGTCAAATGGGTCCATCTGGGTTTGACTCATAGGTATGGGATTTAATGGCTGTGGGTCCTCAAGAAAATTTTTTTACCTCTTTGAGTTTTATAGAACCAAGATGAGAATATCTAATCCATTGAGTAGTTTAGGATTTAAACCAATAAGCACGGTGACACAGTGATTGACACATAACAAGCATCCGATATACAAAGATTATTATTCAAAGATGAATATCATATGGTTTTACCTTCAAGGCACCCATAGTCTAATCACAGGGATCCACAAGCTTTTTCTGTAAAGAGAGAAGTAGTAAATGTAGGCTTTGTGGGCCATTCAGTCTCTTTCACAACTATTCAAATCTGCTATTGTAGTATGACTTTTGTAAATGAATGAGTATTCTAATAAACTTTGTTTACAAAGACAGGTCACAGATCAAATTTGATGACGCCTGGTCCAGTAGAACAACTTATCATACTAAATTCATTGAAAGCTAGAGCTAGTCCTTGTGCTGCTGTCGCTTTCCTTAAAGGAATGTGTGATGGCCCACTAAATAGTTTTTTATCCTAATTGGCATTCTCCCTGAATATACCTTCTACTTTATGGAGGAAATAGGTTATATGTAATGATGTCAGCCTTGATGTTAAATTTTGCTACTTCAGTGAGCAGTAGATTTCTGTTAACTAATAAATTCATTAACAAATTTATAAGCAATGTGTTTATAAATGTCAAAAAGCAATACGTTTATAAATGTCAAAGTAATAAGTTCATAAATGTCAGTGGCTCAATATCAGCTTCATCTGGAATATGACTCCAATAAGAAAGCATAGCTCATGATGGCAACAAGTGATTGATGTTGAGTCTCCACCAAATTACTACTTTTAAGGACTTACTGCTCTTTCTTTTTTTTTTTTTAATATTAAAATACATAGATTTTTATTTATTTTATTTTATTTTTTATTATGTTAATCCCCATACATTACATCATTAGTTTAAATGTAGTGTTCCATGATGAGCCTTGGAGTTTTATCATTAGCCCAAGAGCAGTAGGAAGCCATTGAAATATTTAAGCTAAGTGGTAATGTGATTGGCTTTATATTTCCAGACCTTCAGTCTAGCTGTAATATGGAGAATGGTTTGAAAAAGGCAAAAGTGGTTATGAGTAATGGAGTAACCAAAGGAAGAAATGTTAGGAAGTGGTTGTGGAGATAGGGAGAAATGAAAGACTTAACTGATGTTTAAGAAGTAGAATGGACAGGATATGTAGGATGGGGGAAGGAAGTATCAAGAATGACTTACAGGTTTCTTACTTGCATGGCAGGATAGATATCACCCACTGAATTGGGAAAATTTAGAAGTTTGGTTTTGTACATGAGAAGTTATAGTTGCCTTTGAGAAATTGAAGAGCTATAAAATGAGAAGTAGGGATCTGGAGCTTAGATTTGATGGTATCTCTGGGTAGAGATAAAAAATTAGAGATATTCATCTATAAATGATTATTAAAATCATGTATGTAAAGAAGTGAAGAGGGCCTAGGATGGAGTCTTGAATACTTACTGACCAGATTAGGGGAAGATGAATCTGCACAGAAGATCCAGGAGGAGTGTCCAGAAAGGGAGGAAAACCAAGTAAGTACTGTGATTCAGAAGCCAACAAAACTGCTTTTCCAGAAAAAGAAACTGATCAAAAGTGTTAGCTGTTGCTAAGAGGTCAAGTTCGATGGTACTGAAAAGCATCCTTTCAGGTTATCAACCTGAGGATTATTTCCCTTCTGTCAAAGGAAACCTTAACTAGAAGAGGAATATGTAAACAGATTTTTTAAAAGCTACTCTGGTTATAGTGGGGGTGAGGTACCTGAACCCTGCCTATTTCACACCCATGTGGACCATAGTTTGAAACCCTCTGAGGGGAGACTCAACAGTTGAGGTAAAATGATTTGCTGAAAATCATGCAGTTACTGGGTGGTAGGGTCTATGTTAGAACTCACTTCTTCTGATTTCTAACCTGGTTTTTTCCCATAACTACTCTCTACTTCTTTTCATGATGTGAGTTTGAAATACGGTTTAACCGACTGAAACATATGCATTTTGCTGCAGGTGGAACTTAACTGTGTAATAAGGAGACTACTTGGATGAATAAACAGGTTTATTTATTTATTTATTTTCCTGTAGAGGAAAAGATGCTGGAGCCACAGGAGAATGGCTTGATTGACCTACCAGATTATGAGCATGTAGAAGATGAAACTTTTCCTCCTTTTCCACCTCCAGTTTCTCCACAGAGAGAAAATGGTGAAGGAGCTGAACCTGATGAAGGTTTGTGTAGAATTCCAAAAAAGTGCCTGTGTTCAGTTATCCATCTATTAGCATAGAAATGATAGATTTTATAGATGAGGCTTAAATTATTTAAGTAATATCAAATCTTGGTATATTTCACCAGAGTCAGGGAGAGGAGCACCTGTTCCTGTACCTCCAAAGAGAACAGTTAAACGGAATATACCCAAGCTGGATGCTCAGAGGTACATTTACTATTTCCTTAAACATTTATTCCTTTTTTTTTTTTAATGTTATTTTTCCCCCCTTATATTAAAAAACTTTTACTTGGGAT